AATTTCATATGTTATAACCTAAGATCCTCCGACTCTTTGGTATAGTTTTCATCATATAATTTTGGCTACTTTTTCATCAAAAACAATATTTTTATTAACCGCCGTTTTTTTCTTAACACCCTGTATATTGTATTTTTATGAACTAGTTTTCGATGCAAAATAAAGAGGATAATGAGTTGTGCTATTAGTTAATGATTTGTATGGCAAGATCAGTGAAGTGTCCTATCAGTAAAGTGTTCTTGTCGGTAAATTGTACTGTCGGTGGAGTGAGTGTCGGTAAAGTGGGTGCCGGTAAATGGGGTAAACCCAGTTTATTTTCTGAGGCATGTTCATATTCCAATTTGAATTCTTATTTAATTTTAATGGATAATGAATCTTTTTATTTGTAATTATTTAGTACACAAATTTGTTTTCAAGTATTTTTATATAATCTGCTTTAAAAAGCACGGTTCGAATTTATATGTTTGACCGTTTGATCTTTTCCGGTCCTGTTCTTGCTGTTGTATGTATCACAGTACATTAGTGTGTATTATGGTCTAGGGATGTCCATCGAAGTCAAAATTTCAACTGAAAATTGAAAGCCTAAACCGAAACATACATGCTGTATATAGTATGAAAAAAAATTTTTAAATTGATAATTAATTAATTATCTAAGAAAATCTAAGATAAATTTATGAAGGTTACTTTATTTTTTGTTGACTGCTGACAATAAATTTCACATGAGAAATTATCTTCATCTTATGTGGCAATTATTTGAATTAAAAAAATGAGATTAATTATTTAATTATATTATATTTGAATATGTTTGCATAATTTCATAATTCTAAATAACATGTTCATTAGTTTTTAGAATTAAATTAAAAATTCATGAATTATTGGACGACCTTCTTCAAATGTTTGATACACTTTGTGGATTCTGCAAAGTGTCACTATTGCGCCAAATTTTTTCATATGGAAATTTGAAAAAACCTGGCAAAGGAATTCGTGATACTATTTGGATGTCGTTGCAAAAAAACTGTTAAAAAGAAAGTAATCTAATAAATAAGAACAACTAAGTCTGACTGATCTACGAAAGCACAATATTAACCACAGAAAGAAATGATGATATTAATAGAGCATTAATCAGGGCATTTGTAATGTGTGGCACACCTTTTAATGTAATATTTTTTTGAGTTACTTAGACAACTTAGACCTTCCTACACACCGCCTAATAGAAAAGCAGTTCTAGGAAAACTTCCATGACACACAAGTGAATAATATTAATACCAAAATTAACATGCGACTTGTAGAGATACAAATGATTATGAAACAAATGATATAGATAGTAATGCGGATGATGAAAACCAAAATGAAAAGAAGCCAGTTAATAGTAAGATTAATAAGAAAAATTCATATTGAGATTGTTAGAAAAGAATTCAAATAAAATAAGCGATTTTTAGTCAAATGTGTTCATAGTTTGGCTTTCAGTTTAGGTTTTGATTTTTGGTATGGTTTTTGATTTTTCGGTTTAGGTTTCGAAATTATGAAGGCTCAAAAGTACTTCCGAAAAGGGTGTTTTGGTAGACATCCCTAGTATATGTAGTTAATATATTTATAAAATTTACCAAAAAAAAGTTGTATCTTCTTCATCAAAAAAAAAATAGAATAGTGGAATTAAGAAGGATTAGAATAAATATGATGATATACGTGGTGACTGAGAATTTTTTTTAAAAAAAGAATTTATAAGAATTTAAAGTTGTGCGATTTTTCGAATTTTTTTCTAAATGTAAAATCTTTTTACCGACAACTTGGGGGTTACATTTAACCTCCACATAATCAAACTACCAATAAAATGCTAAAACGGCGCGCCGCGTGTTGTCGGTAAAATGACTGTCGGTAAAATGACTGTCGGTAAATGATTGTCGGTAAAAGTATATCCTTCTTTTCCTTTTAAAGAAAATGCTATTAGAAAAAAAATAATAATAATTATTATTATTATTTCCAAAAATGCGATGAAATTTCAAAATAAATCGAAGTTTTATTTTGTTTTTAAAAAAATAATATTTTTTAATAAATAATAAAAATTCAATTTAAAAAAATGGAAAAACATCAATATTGTTATAACCAAAATCAAGTTGGTCAAAGTCATTTTTTTACCAATAATCAAAATTTTGGAGGCAATAATCAAATTCCTGAAAGCAATAATTTCAATCATCAAAACAACCAGATCCTTTACGGAAATAATTACACCAACCAAAACTTGGGCTGCAATAATCCCATTCATCAAAACTGTGATAATTTCAATCCAAATTATGGCCAAAACTCAACCTACGACGATATATTTGACCAGAAACTAACCACCATTGCTACTACTATGAACGGTAATAATCCGAATAATCCATTTATTGTCGGAGAACATTTCTATCAAAATGACTATTGCAATTGTAATCAAAATGTCACCATTGATCAAAACAGCAATAAGAAACTACTTGTTTTCATGGCATATCAAATTCAAAGTCTTCAAAATACCATAAATCAATTGTTATATAACATTAGCAACAATAATAGATAAATTAATTCATCGATTTATTTTCACATTTTTTTATTATACTTTATATTTTATCATATTAATCAGTAATCAATAAAATAAAAATTTTAAAGCTCACTTCTATGTTTAGTCAAGAATAAAAAACTGGAACGTATTGTTGGTCTGAAATTTCAAAATTTCAAGGGAAAATTTTGCTATGCAAATTAGTGCGTCTTCTTGACCAAAAAGTTCTACGTGAAAGTTGCATATGATTAACTCAAAATTTCTTTTTCCCCCAGTATGGGCCTTTCCTAATGTATTTTTTGAAATACGATGATATCTGTTATATATACTGCGTATCCAAAATTTATAGACATAATATGATATATGCACACATACAGTATATAATCTAACGCTATGATATATGCATTACAAATAATTCAAAACAATTCAAAACAATTCGAATGTTTAAGAAAGATAAATAAACTACGTAACAAAAAAAAATCCATACAATTGCTATATTAATCCAGATCTATTTATCTAGTTGGGCGTCTGTAGACTTGAATTTAATATTGAGTTTATCTGATCGTGATATATTAATTAGTGCTGGTTTCCAACAATAGGGAGTTTCGCAACCGTGCGAAAGTAAAAAGGTTTTACCATAAGTCGAAACTAGTTTTGGTTTAGTTTTACATATATAACTTTTAATTTTAGTTTTGACTTTCATCTCTTCAAAATAGTTTTGGCGACCAACACTAATGTTAATCCAAAAAAACAAGGCCACATTCATTGAAAGATAATATTTCTGCCAATGTTATTGAATCAATGAACATTTGTATAATATCATTGATTACCGACATTTTTCGTTGTTGCCAAATCAAAGATCTAGAAGAATGAAATTTAAATTTAACAAGTTTTCAAATTGTTTCTCTATAATGTCCTTTTGGAAAAATATATATAATCATTTTACCTTTAATTTCGGAGTAGGAGGTACCCTGATAAACAGAAGGTGGTTACATTGTAGAAAGACATACTAAATATATATTTGCACACTATCGTACATCAGGGATAGTCAATGGGTGGATGTTTGCTTTACAAATTAATTTCATATTAGCATTAACATGCATTTATATATTGCATTTTATAAGCTATTACTCATTTATTAAGAGGGTAATAACTATGGCAATTATCCATCATTACAATTATAATAATAATAGAGATTATTTATTATTGTAATAGTAAACAGTTTGCTTGTTACGTATGAAATACGATCGTAATTACCAAAATTTTAATGGAAAACCCATTTTGACTAAAATTAATATGTAAAAAAATAGTTAGTTGAACATATAAAATAATGAATAATAATCTTTTGAAATTACTCCCGAATTTTTCTCTAGCTAATAAACATAACCGAATCATTATCAATGCCATTGTCTACAATTGAGCTAGCTGGATACCAAACCAGATAAGCATCCAAGTGCAGAAAAAAATATTAATATTATAAGGCATATGGAAGATCCTATCCATTAGAATCAATTAAAGAATTAACAATTACTGCAAAAATTCATCCAAAATTTACAGATCTTCCACAACCTGTGAATTCCAAAACAATGATAATTATTGGTAATTATAATTGTGATAATCATTAACATTTTAATGGGTGACTATTATATATATTAACATTCATGTAATAAATATATTTTTTTAGGATGACTAGATCTATTATAATTGTTTGATTATGTGCCTAATTATATTATCAACTAAAAAATCTAATGAATTTTCATTTACTTGTTATAAAACTGGATATTTTTATAATCTATTATACATCATAAAGATTGAATAACTTTAGATACTATTGTAATGTAATGTTACTATTTCAGATAGTTCGCTGAAAAATTTAATGAAGGACCTAAACCTTTTAAAATAGATTTAGAAATTACAAAAATATCAAGATTTAGGATTTTTAAATAAAATCATTATAATTGTTCTGTTATTAGCTGAAAATAACTATGAGTCAATGAAATTCAAATTGAATTGAATCGTTTATATGATCTCATAATATAGTTTAATAGAATTTGTTATTGCATGTAAATTTGAAATCCATATATGTGAAAATTAAATTAACCAATTGAAAAGTCTATATTTTAATTATAAATGTTAACTTCACATACAACGATACCCGTTTGTTAAATAAACTTTATAAATAATATTAAAGTAATGGGATATTAATCAACCAATATACAATATCTTTTGTATTATGATTTTTATATTTCATTCTTTACATTGGACAATAGTTCAACTGTAATAAATAGTTCTTTAATCCTAAAATAAATTAAAAATTAAAAAGATTTTTTTTTAAATTATAAGAAAGATGACCATATTTGTATAGTTAATTAATTGTTTGTTTTCATACTCTTTTCCTGTTAAAGCTTTTTGGAAGCAAATTATATCTCCATTTTGTATTTCAGATTGACAAAATGTTGATTCTGGATTCATTTCTATTATCATATTTGGTTTAATTTCCTAATAATTATTAGTAATAGTAATAAATATATCAATTCATAATTTTGTTAATTATAAACATAATACAGCGAATAGCACATACTTCATATAGATTTAGTAGAGTATTTGGCGGAAGATCCTTTTTTTCACACAAAATTGGATAAATGTCACCAACTTTACCAGATTTTTCTACATAAAGAGAACCAAGACATCTATATGATACATGCATATAAAGATAATAAAAAAATTACCAAAATAATTAAATGCATTCAAGAAAAATCGTATCCATCACTCATACTCTAAAGTTTGTGCATGGAAATCAAAAAATTTTAGAAACACTATAAATTTTTCATTTGTTGTGGGAAACCAAACCTAATCAATGGATTTAAAAGAGTCATTTTTGTATTCATTAAAATGTATTAATGAAAATATGGGTAAAAAATATGCAAATAAAAAAAGACTTACTTCGTCATCTAATGGTTTATTTGCAATCTCCAAATAAAATCTAGGTTTACTACGTGGTGTAAATTTATCACAAATTTCAACCATTGCTAATGTATAATGACCAAAAAAACTTAATAATCGACACATAAAGGTTATTAAAATTATTAAAAAAAGAAATCATACTTAAATTAAAATTGTCAGGTGATATTAATTCATGAGGTCTGAGAGTTTTATTTTGTCTATTGACATATTCCCAAAACCGAATTTGTTGAGGTTGTTTTTCATATTTGGCTGCTACGATCTCTTTAAAATCATTAAATGTATCAGTTTCAAGAACATTTATCACAGGAAGATCTGATATAGAATATTGTTGATCTGATATAGAATATTGTTGATCACAAAAATTGGCAAGATCAAATCCTTTGTGTTCTCTAAAAGTATCATCAGTAACAAGCTTTTTTAAAAAAAAATTATTAATAAGTTATGCAAATAATTATATATAGTTTCCAAATTAATAAAGAAAAATTACTTTATACCGTAACTTGCATGTGCAAATCCTCTTCCTCGACTTCTTTTTCCATTTTTTCATAAAGTCTTCTTACTCCTCCAAAGGTTTGTCTTTCTATTTTGATTTTTTGAAGGTATTATTCATTCATTATTCTTGATGTTTTGTATTTTCATTTTTATTATAAATATCACATTAAAATTAAAATTAGAGAGTCTTATTTTAATTTCAATAAACCTTTTCCTGATCTTGATCCCATTTGAAGTAACAATCTTGGTTGCCATTTATCATCGAGATAGTATCCAAGAATTTCTTTATAAACCTCTTTATCAATAATTCTTCTAAACGGTGAAACACTATCAAAAAAAGCCTTTGAAGAAATTTGATCAAATCTTATTAGTGGAATAATATCTTCTAGTATATTTTTCAATTGATTGTATTCATCTCGATTCCACTCTGAAAAAACTTTACTCAATTTCTCCTCATTTTGCCCAATTCCCCATTGAATAATAAATGTCCATATTTCAATTTCATATAAGTTCAAAATATCCTTCTTCAGTATAGTTATCAGCATCGATTTTTCCATAGTTAGAAAGTCACTAGATTTTAATAATAATTCAGGATTTTCATCAACTAATTCACCGTAATAATCTTGAAGCAGGTTGAATGATTCATATTTTGATAAGAATTTATGAATTTTAATTAAATTAAGCTGAATCCAATCTTTTTTATTAACAAGTAAATGTTCTTGTAAGTGCTCAATTAATTCATCAAAGCATAGCTCATCACATGCTTCAAGTAGTTCAAGAATTTCATCTGGCATTAAATTATCAACATTAAAAATTCCATTGTAGATATATCTTTTTAAAGAAATAAAACCAAAAAATTTAAATTAATTAATTAATTATCATTTATATATTAAACTAAATTAAAACTGAATTGGATTAATCTTACGATAAAAGAATTTCAAATATTTTTGGAGAAATATTTTTTTTTTCAAATAAAATAATGCCATTAGATTTTTTTACCCAATTATTTGATAAAGCCGCATTAAAATACAAAGACCTCGCTTTCAAGATATTGGAATGTGCATTAAAAGTTTTAATATCTTCACCACTTCCGACTCTAATTTCCATATCGTAAAAATCCGATCCGTTCAACAAGTTTGTTAAATCATTTACAAGTTTATTAATATGTTTTATCAATAAAGTATCTTTTTTGGATCTTGAAAGTTTTTTAATGTTTTCTAAAAATGAGGAGTCATAATTATTAGGCATTTTTAAAGTTTTAAGGTTTTATTATTATTTATTCAAAGGAACGTCTAAAAATAACCACTGTTGTACAATTGTAGATCATATTTTATTTTCGTCCAATTCTCCTTTAAATAAAAATGTATTTTTTGAATACTAAACTCTTTTTATCATCTGAATTATGTCGAGATACCATAAGTATTGTGAGTGTTAAATTTAAATATTGTATCATCTATTCTATAGAGCAACTAATTATCTTTCTCGTTCATAATCAGCGTGATTTTTTATAATAAGTTGAATTATTATTGTTGTTTCCATTTTTAGCTACAACTGATTCAATGGTTGTATTATTGTTGTTTTCGTGGAATTATGCTTCAAAACATACCATGAAGGATGCATATGTTTTTATGCCACATCATAAATGGTCTACGAGATGAACAATAATAATATAATGGAATGCGGGACTAGATACAATAATGTTTGATACATTGTTAAGAACTCGCCTTAAAAACACTCGTACAAATTATAAATTGAAAAATTTTTTTTTTTGATGTCTATGAAACAGTAGCTTTTTCTTTTTTATCACTCACTCAAAATATAAACTTCTTGGAAAATAAAATAAATTATAAAGAATATTAGCCAAAAACCTATTCAAGTATTGAACTTGCATACCAGGTCGGTGTGTTTAGTAGACTTGAGAAAAATGACATTTTATAGTTGACGCAAATTGCCTACCTATCATAGGATGTAGCTCTTAATAATAATCACCCGTCGTAGAGATATTTGATATGCATTGTCTGATATATCTCTCTCACTTTATGACGGTGAACACTACTTTACAAAGGTAAAAGTAGATAAAGAAAATGTGTCTATTATAATTAATTTTTTATTTGCTTTAATCATATTGATCATTTGGGTTGAATATTTTTCATTTAATGAGAAAAGCCAGGTTACAAGTCAGATTTGTCGATTGAAAACCAAAAATATTACGAGTAAACAAAACTTATTTTGTTAACATATGAAGTATCTAATGTGTTGCAAAAAAATGCGCACAAAACTTCATATGGTATTTATAATAATAATAATAAATAATGTTGTAATTCAGAACTCTAAGTTTAGGAAAAACCGAAAATCTAGAACCAGATTGCCGAAACTAAAATTATATCAAGGGTAAAAGTTTAGTCTTAATATTGTCTTAGGTTTTAGGTTTCGAATTTCAAGTTATATAATATGATAGTATCGCTTGATCTTAATAAATTTTAATTTTGACCATAAAATATTAATATTTACTAATATGTTTCTTGAAGAAGATATACTATATATAGGGCAAATTTCCGATCATGTAATAATTGCCTTATCATGTTTAAAAGTGTTATTTATACATGGTATTTTTTCATCATATTAATATCCTAATTTTATACATGTAGAGTATCATTTTGAAGATATAATTGTGTTATGGGTTATAAAAAAATTGAGATAATTGTCGTGGTAAATATACACTTCCTAAAACTTTGATTCTCAAAATTATGTATAATAAAAAAATTATTTTTTCAATTATACCCTTTTTGAGCTATAAAAACAAGAAGCCATAAAAATAAAACAGACATTATAAAATCACCAATATCACATATTAGATATAAATTTAGATTTATAATATTTGATATCCACAGTTGCTCGTTCATGAAAAAGTTACTTCTATAAATTCTATGCAAAAAAAGTTTTTATATATATACTGTATGTAAATAATCCTAATTTAAAATTGTTAATTTTTCTTTGCTAACTTGTATACTTCATATTCTTCTAACAAATAAGCTTTTACTTTTTTCTTATCATTCTCAAAATTTAAATTATTCTGATAAAAAATATTATTAAATTGATAAAGACAATAAGGTTCATTATTAATACTGTTGTATAATTGTAAATCTTCAAAGTTTATGACAATTTCACAAAAACCTATATTATCATTATGAAATATTGCAAGCTTAGGATATTTGACTCTACTTAATATAGAATTATCAAGTTGATTCTCATTAATTTTAAAAATAAAACTTTTATCAGTTTCAATCCAGTATCCTTCATCTAAGGATTTTTCTTTTCTATTCCAATAAACTGGGTTATAGCCACCCACTAATTCACCTGTTTCTTTTAGTTTCATAAATACTACAGTTTGTTTGATGTTATAACATTTTTGTTCAAAAACTGATTTTGAAGATCCATCTTGAGTGCTTTGAAGAATTAATTCAAAATCATATGGAATGTCATTTTCACTATAATAGCCATTACTTTGATCAATCCAACCAGAAACCAGTAATTTCATTTTTGAGTTTAATAATTTTCCTTTGCTACTTCTTGTTCTTGGACCTTTATAATGAAGAAATCTAGGTTTCCATTTATCTGTAAAATAATATTGAAGAATTTCTTCATATATATTTTTATCAAAAATCTTTCTATAAGGTTTGACATTCTCATATAAATTTTCTTTGGATATTTCACTAAATCTTATTAATAAAATAATGTCTTTTAATATACTTTTCATCTTCTCAAAATCATTTTCATCCCATATTGAAATATCTTTTTTTAATAACCCACATTGTCCTATTCCCCATTGAATGACATAATACCAAATATCAATCTCATCTAATTTCAAATTATTACTTTCCAATATTGATACAAGCATTGGTTTTTCAATTGTTGCAATGTCATTGGATTTTAAAATTGAACCTGGATTTTCACAAATCAATTTATCACAAAAATCTTGAAGTGAACTAAATTGATGTTTTGATGAAACTTTATGAACATAAATAAAATTTTGGTGGAGCCATTTACTTTTTTCATTGATTAAATAATTTTGTAAATCATCAATTAATTCATTAAAGTTTAACTTGTCACATGTTTCAATAAGTTCCAGAATTTGGTTTAAATTCAGGCTACCTATATTGAGAATTCCATTGTACATATACCTTTTAAAAAATATAAATAATAATATGTAAAAAAAAAATTTCATTTAATAAATCAATTCTTTATTTATTTTTTATTAATAAATCAAATCAACTTACATTAAAAGAATTTCAAAAACTCTTGGAGAAATATTTTCTTTTTCAAATAAAATGGTACCATGATCAGACCTTTTAATCCAATTATTGGATAAAGCTGCTTTAAAATACAAAGATCTCGCCTTTAAAATGGTAGAATGAACTTTAAAAATTCTGACATCTTCCACTCCTCCAACTTTGATTTCTACATCATAATAATCTGAGTTATTTAACAAATTTGAAAAATCAATTACTAGCTTATTAATATATTTTAAAGTTGCAGGATTATCAATGTTAAGGTTGTTAAATAAGCATGTAATATTTTTTTCCAAGGACAAGAAACTGTTATTATTAGACATTTCGAATTTTTTTATTTGGTAAATGTGAAATTCAGATTAGCCAATCAAGCACCCCATCCCAAAATTTTAATAAACTTCACAAGTTTTAATCTTTTAAAAATAATTCCAAATTCTTTTTAAAGTGAACAAATGATTTTGAATTTAGAATCTTTCTCAATAATTTCCATGGGATAATTATTTTATTGGTTTATTACATGAATTGAGCAACATTTTATCAAATTAGACTGGTTTGAATTCTTGATCAGTATTTCCAACAAAGTTGAAATATTTAATTGTTCACAAGTTTATTATCATATATGAAAAATTTAGATAATCTTTATGATTTATTATTTAAAGGAACAAAAAAGGGTTATATTTTTTACATGGATATTAAACTATTCAAAGAGAGTTCTTTAATGGTCAATGAAAATGAAAAATTGGTGGATCAGATACAGC